TGGAGGCCACGGCCGAGGTTGGCGCCATCCCCAACGCCAAGCTCGGCCAGCCGTCCGCCGCCGCATTGGCCGAGCAGGCCCTGCTCGGTTCAGACGCCAGCCTCGCCGTCCACGCGGGTAATCACGATCAATCCCCTCTCAGATCTATCGCCTTCCCCCCGCTGCTTCGGTTTTTTTCTGATCCATTTCGTGCTTTTGATATACCTATCGAAGGCGAGAGGCTGGGCAGAAGGATCGCCACAGACGCGATCACCACGCCAGTAGTGAACACCTCGGCCTACTGGTTCAACAACTCGCAGGAGCTCATTGACTTCAAGGTTAGAAATGATTGGCGATCTTTCGTAAATAGTTGGGGGGTTGCAATTACTCCTACAAATCGATTTGGTAGATGCCCTTTTTGCAAATGTTAAAAATTTCCTCTTCTCTCAGGAGGGGAGGCATGCTAGCTTCGAGTATGGGAGGTATGGTAACCCGACCACTGAGGCATTGGAGAAGAAGATGAGGTGATGTTTCCCCTTTGTTGCTGGTGTAATATTTTCTTCTTGAAATGAATGGTTCTGCTAATTGGAAGTGGGAATGCTTGATGCTGTGTTGGTTTTAGTGGATGGGATTTTGATTGCTCTACTTCGATGTTTCAGTGCACTGGAGAAAGCCGAGTCCACTGTCTTTGTGGCATCCGGGATGTATGCAAGTGTGGCTATGCTCAGCGCGCTTGTTCCAGCAGGTGGGCACGTTGTGACCACCACTGATTGTTACCGCAAGACGAGAATTTACATGGAGACTGAACTACCTAAGAGGGGAATTACGGTAATCTGATCTTATTATTCTTGTTTGCAGTAATGCATATGTAACTTTCAATGGAGTTTTTCTTGTAGTTGATGTGACTTGTCATTGTTCTATAGTAGCAGAAGGCTTACAAATTTTAAATTTTATGATCTACTTAAAATATTATATTTGGACATGGAGGCTACTATTTCCTGTGTTAATTGGCACAGCAATTACCTGTCATCTTTCTAAGTTCAATTTTATGTTGTATAATAAACTAATCCAACATAACTCGCATTCTTTTGTCCACCACCACTCAATCATTGCTACTTTAGTAATCTGTACAGATTCCTGTGAGAGCCAGATAGAGGCATTTATAATTATACCGGTACTTTTTGCGTGCGTGCGTGTGCACACACTTGATTCTGCAGTTACTATTTGAGATTGGCTTTCCATCAATTTGTAGAAGCCAAAAATGTATAATGATTTCATAGTTGCTTTCAAATTTCCAGTATCTTGGAAGTGCATATTAAATATTTATGTTCTGCAGAATACGGTGTTTGGAATATGCCTATGATCTTTGTTCCATTTGTTTATACATAAATGTTTACAATTTGTTGCTTATCTTATGACACAATTTTGTGTCCAGATGACCGTTATTAGACCTGCTGACATGGATGCTCTCCAAAATGCACTGGATAATAATAATGTGAGTGTGATCTTTGTACTATTTCCTTTTCCTCTAATGCTATCATATGCCTATTTATTAACCAAAAATTTATCCGTGACCTCTACTCAGGTATCCCTATTCTTCACCGAGACTCCTACTAATCCATTTCTGAGATGCATCGACATTGATCTTGTCTCAAAAATGTGCCATAGCAAGGGAGCATTGCTTTGTATTGATAGTACCTTTGCATCCCCAATCAATCAGAAGGCACTAACTCTAGGTGCTGACTTAGTTATCCATTCAGCAACAAAGTACATTGCTGGGCACAATGATGTAAGTGTTTGGACCAAACTTCCTGTACTCATTACACATATAGATTGCCTTGACAAGAATATTTTGTTTTTTAGGTTATTGGAGGCTGCATCAGTGGCAGAGATGAGCTAGTTTCCAAAGTCCGCATCTATCACCATGTAGTTGGTGGTGTTCTAAATCCGGTGAGTTTGGGCTGGTAAAATATCTCTCTCGTTTGCATTGACTAGAGGTAGTGATAGCCCTTGTTAGGTAATTCTGTAATTAAAATCGTCAATTGTACAGAAATAGATAACACACTATAATAGATGATCTGCAGCTGTGAATGTCTGAAAGCGATTTGAATTGAAGTTGTGAATGTCTTTGCATTCTATTTCTGTATGTTATACTGTTGATGAATATTCTGGTCTCTTGTCTCTTAACTTTTCATGCCATTATGATACCAGAATGCTGCCTACTTGATTCTTCGAGGCATGAAGACACTGCATCTCCGTGTACAATGTCAGAATAATACTGCAATGCGGATGGCCCAATTTTTAGAGGAACATCCAAAGGTTTGCAAACTCTGCACTTTTCATTTGTTGTACAAGCTATGAAGCTACGAGTAGTTCTTTTTGTTGTGTTGTTTTTTCTGAGTCTCTTATTTCCTATCCTTAGATTGCACGTGTCTACTATCCTGGTCTGCCAAGTCACCCAGAACATCACATTGCCAAGAGTCAGATGACCGGCTTTGGTGGTGTCATTAGTTTTGAGGTACTTTCTTCTCTTTAATTCTCATCTCACCTGTGGATATAACACCACCCATTTAAATTTCTAAAATACCTTGTCTGTGCAGGTTGCTGGAGACTTTGATGCTACTAGGAGATTTATTGATTCTGTTAAGATACCCTATCATGCCCCATCATTTGGGGGCTGTGAGAGCATTATTGATCAGCCTGCCATCATGTCTTACTGGTATGGACTGTTCATATTTTGTCACATTCAGATAATCAATCAATCAAAAAGAACATGTTGCTGAGTTATGAATCATTACAGGGATTCAAAGGAGCAGAGAGAAATCTATGGAATCAAGGACAACTTGATCAGGTTCAGCATTGGAGTGGAGGATTTTGAGGATTTGAAGAATGACGTTGTTCAGGCGCTTGACAAGATCTAAGCACCTGATTGCATCCTCATCATGAGAGTTCATCTATCTGATCTTGTTTGCCTCTGCATCACGTGGAGAACTTTGATATTCCAGCTGAGAATTGCGAATAAGTTTCTTCATTAGTTCCCATTATCTAGTCTTTAGTTCCAATTAAGTTTGTGTCTCTGTTTTTTCCTCTCAAAATGGCTATGTTCAGAATTATTTTTGAAATGCTGAAAATCCACCGTTGTGTTGTGTACTTTTGCTTGCCTGTTGTCCTGTTGGTAGTCGGAACAGAGAAGTTGCTTTGCATACCGTTGGGATGCATTATACCAGTAGTTTTATTACGGTTTGAGCCTTGCTATTGCTGACATAGATCACTATGGGTATGGGATGTATGGATTCAATGAGAACAAAGCCCAATCTCCATTGCAAGGGTGAAAGGATGCTGGGGCTTGATATCATATGATGCTGAACTACGCTTGGTTATTGGCTCCCGCATGAGGTTGCCGCTTGTAGATGTCCATGCGATTTGTGGTGAGTATTCTGACCGTAAGTGGATGTATGCTGAAAATTTGTAGCATTGTGTCCGTGACAAAGGAAATGTAGGACTCCAGAAATTTCCATTGATCCTAATGGCTTCATTTTCTCTCCTTTCCAAATGAAGGCCTCCAGTATGGTATGGTTTGGATTTTTGGTTACCACAGTTAAATTTTGTTAAACAGATTGATAGCGTAAAAATTGGATGTGATTGCTTGTATACAATGCTCCATAGCTATATTGTACGGAGTATTTCCTGTATTTTGGCAATGGTAACATTCAGCCCGTGCCAAAACTTTGTAGTCAAATGCCCATCATATTGGACCAAAGGAAATAAAAAGACGCCATAAAAAAACTCACTGTTAAACCATTGAGTGTTGTTATTTGAGCCAAGACATCGGTGGTTTACAGCTTTGCTACACTTGAAGGAAGGACGTGGAAGGCAGAATAATGCATTCTTTTAAGATGGGTCTTCTTCGATTAATCAGCTTATTGAATGTAATGTTAATGCAAGTGTAGGTCTAGAGCAACGGCATGTGGCAGTGGTACACGAGCAATTTGGTTCAGGAAATGCTATGAATACGATATTTTACGTACAATCTTAGTACGAACAAAATGTACGACAGGGGTCAGGAGCGTAGAGCTCATGGACCCTCAAGCCCATATCTCATATCTAGACTCATCTTCTTTCTTTGCCTCTTAGCTTATGTCGTAAATATGACTTTCCATTTTATTTTCTTTCCTATTTAATGTCCAAGACCATATAATGCTGGTATAAAAGAGAAAAAACAGTTGCCAAACATATACAAAATGCCCTCTTATAATATTTTAATATAAATTTTTGCTTTGCAAAACATGCCATTTTCTTAGTTGATCAATTCGCCACATGATAAATTAAATGTTGAGTGCCGAAGTACAACAACTCCTTCTGATTATATGATTCTTTACGTTTTAGATAAGGTTAAGGTTAAATATTTATAACTTTAACTATCAATAACTTAAAAAAATATTTAGTTTACAACATATATAGATTTGTCTTTATGGTAAATGTTATATAAAAATATAGTCAAAGATATATTTTAAAGAACATGTTCTAATTTAAACGTTAATAATTATATGAAACCAGAAAGATATGATAAAGATATGATGTATATAGATTGGTTATGAAGAAAATTACTTCGGTTCGCTGTATCAGGATGCTTACGAGATGGCAGGCCTAGACATGATGAGTTTGGGCCTTGGACATGGGCTCACTATGGGAGAGTAATCTTTTTCCATGTGGATCCATACCTTCTAACCGTTAATGTTCGATAGGAGAGAAGCGTTATGCCATCGTAAAAAAATATCGTATGTATAGCAGTGCTGATTTGGCTTTCACCTAAGAACAACATAAACATTCTGTCTAGTCTCTGGAAAACAAGATGTGGAGTATAATCCAATTGTTTTGTCTGAGTTTCAAATAAATAAAATCTGTCACGCCAAATTCCGTATATTTTCGATTAACCATCAATGCTCTATTCGAGAAAGATGTATATCCTTTTTGCCCGATAGCCATATTCTGTCTTCCATAACATTGATAGCAAGAGTGTCGGGTGATGTTTGCAAGGTTCTCGATGGGATTTAATTACTCGGGCTTAAAACACATCTTTAGTCTTGCCAATTGTAATTGAAAAATGTTAGCTTGCCAAGGACTTTACTTTGATCGTAGAAAGAAATCCAGTTCCCTCCTTGGGCACTACTAGCAGTAGTTTTTCCAATTCGAAGTAATACTGATTTTCTTTTTTTACCATATCCATGTTTTCTAAAAACGTAGTGTCCCATATCAACGTATCGTATGGTGTCGGATGATGCTCCTCTACAAGTCATGTGACTTTGTTACCAACATGTGAGCTTGGTGATCCATGAACTCACATATCAGTGACAAAGGCACACTTACTTTGTAGGTAGATTATTTCAATCCATCAATAACCTCTCATATCTAACAAAGTGGAGAACCAAAGTAAAACTAGAGGAATATAAAAATAAAAGGAAATTGCTATGCATACAACCCAGCTGTCTGACTCACCGTACGACTTAATTTAATTAACGGTTACAAACGGCTGCATTGCAAAAAAAGACATACTATTCATCGTAATTGATCCATGGTCGTATATATCTTTACTGGACGCTCATTCGGATTGGTCGCCCGATCGAATTTGAGAAAAATCGGGCGCTGACATCAGTCCCTGATTTATGTGCAAAAACTACTTTAAACTGTTTTTTCTCTTAAATTACTTATCCAAATCATGATCCGATTGCACCATTAATTTCGTTGTAATTAAATCTTCAAAACAAGACCACACATGGATATATTCCGACGAAAAAAATAGCTTATTATTGAATTATTTTTAAATGTTGCATGATATATTGGAATTGTTTTACTAAGTAGATTGAAAATGTTTCACTCGTTTAAATCGGGTGTTGTTTCACTTTATATAAAAATAATGTTTCAGCAAATAGCGAAAGAATGTTTCATTTCACTGTAACATTAGATCTATATATAGTGAAACATTGTGAGTACACTAGGTGAAACATTTTTCGGTGGAACAAAAAATAAACCAAATTCCCTTAATAGGGGGTTTCCAAAATATGTGGATTTTTCGTTGCAATAGAATATTTCGTTCACTGCAACATTAGATCTATATATAGTGAAACATTGTAAGTACACTAGGTGAAACATTTTCGATGGAACAAAAAATAAACTAAATTCCCTTAACAGAGAGTTTCTAAAATATGTGGGTTTTTTTGTTGCAAAAGAATATTTTAATTCAATGCAACATTAGATCTATACACACTAAAATTATGAATACACTAGGTGAAACATTTTTTTTGAAAAAATGGGAGGGAGAAGTGGATGGGCCCACGAGGTGGTCACGTAGGGGGAGGGCGCGGGCAGGGGGAGCGCCCGATCCGACACCCCCGCGCCGGTCACCCGGGGTGAATCATTTTCGATCTTTACTTGTACGTCTAGTTGTTAATAAGTTGTACGAGTAGATAGTTACACAAACCGAGAAGGTAAGAAGGAGGTAAAATAGACTCCGTTCCGTTCCGTTGCCTGGACACGCCTCGCCTCCTCGTCTCCTGGAACAACGAAACAGGCGAACGCCGCGTCGCCCTCTCCGATCTCTCCCCGCCTCCGCCATGGCCGCGCGATCCCTCCACCACCTCCTCCTCCTCCTCTTCCTCGCCGGCTTCCACTCCCTCTCCCTCTCCCCCGCCGCCGCACTGCGGTTCGACCTGCAGTCGGGCCACACCAAGTGCATCTCCGACGACATCAAGGTGGGCGCCATGGCGGTGGGCAAGTACCACGTCGTGGTGCCCGAGGGGGGCGGCTCCACCTCCTCCTCCTCCTCGTCGTCGTCGTCGGCGCAGCCGCTGCTCCCGGAGTCCCACCGCGTCTCATTGCGGGTCACGTCACCCTACGGCAACAGCCTGCACTACTCGGAGAACGTGCAGTCGGGCAACTTCGCCTTCACGGCGTCCGAGGCCGGGGACTACCTCGCCTGCTTCTGGGCGCCCGACCACCGCCCCACCGCCACCGTCGGCTTCGAGTTCGACTGGCGCAGCGGCGTCTCCGCCAGGGACTGGACCAACGTCGCCAAGAAGGGCCAGGTCGATGTGAGTGCCTCTCTCTCTCTCTCTCTCTCCCCCCAATCTGGGATCCCCCAAACTCTTTTTGCTTACTTTGTTCCAATCTGTTAGGATCAATCAATACTACACGGCAGAATTAGTTTTTTTTTTGAAAAAATTGTTAAATATTGTGATCCATGGGTTGAGGCATTGAGCGATCGAGGGCTTACTAAACCAGAATTAGGAAGAATAAACTCTTACCTTGTTCCAAGTGTTCTTTCGGATAATTTGTTAGATATTATGACAGATGGATTGAGGCATTGAGCGATTGTGGGCTTACTATATAGAATAGGAAGAACAAATTCGCAGCAGCTCATAGTGGAGTGGAGACACTATGTGGGTTTGGCTGAATGCTCCTTAACGTCACCTTTGTGATTCTAGCTTGGATTTGATTAAGCAGGTGTGCATTGCATTGCGTGCCAGATTAACATCTATAGATTGCAATGCCGAATGCCTGGGGGGTTCTTAGTAGATGGAGACTTTCTTATGCTCTGATCTAGTTGGATGCACGATTTGGTTGTGTCAAATAATTTTGTAATTTATGTGTTTTTATACATGCTTGATGCATGTAAGGGGTTTGGCATGTTTTGTCTTGACATTTGGTTAAGTAGATTCTCTGGTTTGGAGCTGCATGCTTCTTATAATGATTTCTTTTGTACCTTTTATCGATTGATTTGTTGTTAGGTTGTTACAATTAATCCTCTTTTCCAACAGGATTGGTATACTCATCCAGGGGGCATTTTATTGCATTTCTGTGTCAGAGGCTAGAAAATTTGGTGTTTCTTTTCTGAACCAAATATGAGTTAACCAGTATTTTTCTTTGGGTATCACCCCTTAAGGACTTGTTGTTTACCTTGATCAAACATGGCTGTTCCTTTTTCAATTTTGTCTGTGGAGGTGCTTGAACATAAATCAGTACTCAGTTTAGTGACCTAATTTTGCTAAAATTTCCACTTCAGTTCATTTGGTTTATGAATTTATACATATGGACTAGCAATCAAGAAAAGTGCAGTTTTAGTTGGATAGTGGGTCAATAGGTAAGCATGGGTGGACCCACTTGCAGCCCTAGTGGCTTCTTCTCCTTATTGAATGTACTTACCTTATAAAACTTCGTCTTTCACTTTATGCATATTAACGTATGCTTTATTGGTGATATGGCGCATAATCTTGATAACCCTAACACAGAGAGAAGGCATGATTTATACTTGCTAATTTTGGTGAACACAAGTCATTGTTGATTAGATAGGCTAGGGTGCTAGACCAATAACAGAATTCTCCCCTCGTGCTGCCACCTCCCTGCATCGCTCCCTCCCGTAGCACCTCATTCATCCCTCAGCGCTCTGCAGCACTTCATAGTCCATACGTCACATCCCTGGCCACATCTCCTTGTTCTGGTCCCTCCCCACATTAGCCCCTTTGGCATCGTTGATGCCTGTATGCCCTATATGAGGCAGCAGCAGTAGTGGCCAAGGAGAGTTCGTCATGGTTGTATTGACTTTGTCGTTGATAGATGCCAAAAAGAGGACAGCTATGTCATACCCAGTGGTCAATTGGGTTTATAATTTACGATAAACTTTGGCAAAGGGCCCAACTTTTTAGCCTATAAAATTTGAGGGCCAGGCCTAAAATGGGGTGATCTGAATTTCTATTTTTTTACCTAAAAATATTTAAGGGCTAGGTAGGGTTGTGAAAGAACCCATCACCCTAGGTAGATATAATTTACACCCATAGTTCAACTCCCATGTATGAAGCTTGAAAGGTTACTCCTTTCTTCAAAGCGCTAATGACGTAGTGACTGCATAAAAATGGTTTGCCTTTGGCATATTGCTTCAAAATCAAGAAGGAACTGGTAATTTTTTTAGAAAGGTATTGCTCCCACCAAGTAGGCCTCTTCACAATTCATGTTGCACCAATGACAAATCATGTTTTCTATCCATTTCCTAATTAATTGTGAGGTTAAGCAATACATGTTAGTTCACACTAGAGCATGTTCATATGTTATTTAAGTGGATTTTCCACTTTGGTTTACCAGGATTGGAATCCATGAATTGTGGGTTGTAAACCTTAAGAGGCTGTCAAATATGCTACTGATTATTATGTTCATTAGCACAGTAGCATGGGTAGTACCGCTTACTACAACTGTACACTATCATATCGTTCACTTATATTGTTCAATCATATCCCCTCCCTTCTCTCTCTAACTGGTGACTGTAGCATCACAATGGGTCTTATCATGCAACTCATTATCAGCAGTATTACACATTGTAAACTAATATGTTAATGTGGACATGCAAAATCACCTCCATATTGTAGTATTTGCAGAAATATATCTTTTGTTCACACATTTATCTTTTGATATGTGGCAGATGATGGAGGTTGAGCTCAAGAAGCTGGAGGATACTATCAACTCTATCCATGAAGAAATGTTTTATCTTCGCGCAAGGTATGGCTTGCAATGATAAAACATTTCTTTGTGAAATTCAATATGATCTCTTAAATCATTATTATCCGTGTTTCATTTCTCTAGGGAGGAGGAGATGCAGGAACTGAACAGGAGAACAAACTCAAGGATGGCTTGGCTTGGTTTCTTCTCACTAGCTATCTGCCTGTCAGTGGCGGGGTTGCAGTTGTGGCATCTGAAGAACTTCTTTGAGAGAAAGAAGCTTCTATAATTCTGACTCAGAACATTTAGGCATAAAATTGTGTGATTTCTCTTTTTATGCTTACCAGGCGTAAATTTCCTGCAAGGGACAGATGTTAGCATAGTTGAGGAACATTTCTTTTCAGTTTCCTAGACCAACTTAAATAGATGTAAAATGCAAAGACGACACCAATTTTTGTTTCCTTGCTTGCAAAGTATGTTGTTTTCATGGTTCAAAAGACAAGGTTCTATTTTTTTGTTCTTGGCCTGGCCTCACTGCTCTAACCAAATACTTCATCTGCAGTTGGTTACTGCTGATTATGGTAAGTTTAGAACCAATGTTGTTGTGATTTGTGATAACACATTCATAATATTTTATATTTCTAACACTAATGCCTTGTACTTCCTATGGTTATATGTTTTTTCTTTAGGCTTGAAGCATGAGTCATTTTTGCCTGCTAGATGCGCCCAAAGACTGATTATCATGTCAGGTTCTGTGACTGAAAAGGGCAAAGGTATACACTGAACTTTCTATTAGCTGTTGCATTTGCCCTTTTTTGGCCTTCAGAAACAAGTGCCGCCTTCTCACCTTTCCATGAAAAGCGCACTTACTTATGACCATATCAATACCAAAGTTTGGCTTACGATTATGTGGGGTTTTTTTTTTTTGAAGAAACAACTATCACTACGAAGCAACAGGCCAGATGTGTGGACGTTCGGTTAGATGGCCAAACTAATAAATCATGATTACAAAACGAAGAGGAACGTACATAGATTCTTGTTTTATTAACTAGCTAGCCACCTATACACTCAAGGGTCTGAAGGCTCTTCAATAGCTTATTGGAGAAGACATCCCTTGGGAGAATCTAAATTAACGCATAAAAAAATAGAAAAGTAACAGAGAACACCAGCCTGAACCCTGTTAAACAGACTGCAGTGGTCCATCTGAGACAATAGCAATGCATAAACCCGTGCAACATAGAAGTGATGATCCAAGGCAGTGAAGTTATCTTGCTTGATTGATTGTCGTTGTATTTTTGTGGGGACAAATCTTTTAGTTTTAGATCATGCAGTCCAATGCTTATGGCACGTTTCTGGGTAGCAGTTTCCACATTTTATGCGACCAATGTTAATACACTAGTAGTATACTTGTGAAGTGAGTTTTACTCTAATTCTTGCACTTTCAGATTTCTCTATAAAACTATTCCAGGCCTGTTCTAGCTGATAGACAACAGATGAAACTAAGTTTATGACAATTATTTGAGGATACAAATGAATGAGTTGACTATCAGAAATTTGATAAGTTGATTTTATTTTTTTCTAAGAAATGTTGATGAAGAATGTTTTTTTTTGAAAAAAAAACTGTTTAGGAGATTAGGAAACGTGTCCACGATAATCCATAATATGTATTGTCATTAGAATGCCCGTAATACTTGCATTTTGACAATATGTTGGTTGGCACTAGGTAGTCAGCTTGTATCTGGCAAATCCGACCAACAGTATGTTATGCAAAAGTTTTTTTTGTTTGTTATTATCAACATTTGTTTGTAAATCCAACTGGTGTGTGCCAGTGTTAAAACGTTATAGTCATGCGTGGTATTTTGAAGAGGAATGAACTGACGAAGTTCCACTGTTATTTTATCGAGAAACCGTTTTTTTTTCTTGCAATTATCAGGCATCTGCAGCTGTATGGCTCTTGAATTTTGACTTATCTGCAACTTAACGAATCTAATTGCAGCAACTGGTTTATAAATGTCTCGTTGCTGGTCAGAATAATCAGGCAGCTGACGTATCTGTATGGCTGTATCAGAGGTGTTAGTCCACTTGACGCTTGCTCATTTTGCAAGTACTAGTAGGGGCTGTAGGACAAGTCAAAGAAAGCCTGGTAGATAAAAGAGGTTACCGCCAAATATTTCAACTCAAATCGAAAGCAACTTGATGGAAGCACTGCATGAAGATTTTCAACGAGATGTCTAAATTATTGCAAAATGACGAAGGCATCAACAACGACAGATTCACAGTTAAAACATAAGTACATGTCACAGCGTTAACATAGGTTGAAATGGAGCTGTAACAAGCTGATTAGACCCATTAGGTTTGCGTTATTATGCAGCATCAAGTTACTTTAGGAACTTTGCTATAATTTCGTAAGAAATACTAATTCCCCCTGTTAAAAAAACATCTTTTTTTTACTATGAATATGGATGCTTTGGGATGATACTTTGCTTGCATGCTGCAGCATTCAACGAAAAGTCTGAACATGCAGGCAGCAATGTTTCTACATGCCTTTCTTTCTCTGAAATATTCGGCAAAGATAATATATCTGCTAAGAAATATAAAAGAGTCACAATATTTTTAGGCCATGTTTAAGCTACTCCTAAAATGTCCTCACTAGCTGAAGACACTCGTAGGGAAACTCAGCTCGCAATGTAGGATACCCCTAGATGGGCTCCTCAAAATCTGAAGTAACTTAATAGAGACACTCCAACCCATAATAGGTATTCCAATACACAAAGCCCCATATTTATTTTTACTACCCTACCCCTAATCTCTCTCTCTCCCACCCCCTCTTCTCTTTTTCTTCGCCACCATCCTCGCCTTTCCCTCTCGCTGCCGCCGCTCGCCTCTCCCGTCGCCGGCGGCCGCGAGGATGACGAGGAGGGCCGCCTCTCCCGTCGCCGGCTTCCACCGCCGCCCCTCTCTCTCTCTCTCACGTCGCTGCCCATCGCCGTCCTTCCCAGCATCCTCTGCCTTGCACCGTCGCCGGTTGGGGGCACTAGATCCGGTGCTGTAGTGGGCAATGCGGATCCGTCTTCGCTGTCACCTCTCTCTTCTCTCTCTCTCTCATTGCCACGCCGCCGGTGAGGGGCAAGAAGGGGAGGCATAGGGGAAGGAGGTGGGGGACAGGGCACCGGGTCGCCCCATTGTGTACCCCCAATGGAGTAGCTCAGGAAAAGTGAGCTGAGGAGCCCAGAGCCACCCGTCCCCTGTGTAGGGGTCACGCTCGCGCCTCCCTCCTAGGGGACGACCCGACGACGGAAGTTGGATGTCATTTGCGAGGCTACTCTCTAGGGGCACGCGTTGCTGATGGCCTAAGTTCCCACACAAAAATTTTATACCCTGTCACATCGAACGTTTGAACACCTACATGAAGTATTAAATATAGGCTAAAAAATAACTAATTGCGCAGATTGCAGCTAATTTGCGAGACGAATCTTTTAAGCCTAATTGCTTCATGATTTGACAATGTGATGCTACAGTAAATATTTGCTAATGATGGATTAATTAGGCTTAATAAATTTGTCTCGTTATTTACTGACAGATTTTGTAATTAGTTTTTTTATTAGTGTCCGAACACCCCCATGCGACATCATATATAATACCTGATGTGACACGACAAAACTTTACACTCCGTATCTAAACACCCCCTTATTTTATACGCAACATAGATTTTGAAAGCACGAGAGATGAATATAAAAATCAGTGGCCAAATGATAGGCTGCTAGCGATATGCGTGGCCTATTTCTTTTTAGAATCTTCATAGCTTCCCGAGATATCAGCACATGCTCATGCTCTTAGTCACTCTAGAGTCTATTACTATACGCTCCCTCCATCTCTAAATATAAGTGATTTTGGTTGGATGTGACACATATGGAGGGAGCAGTTACTACTAAGTTAAAAAGAACAAACATATATACAAACCTATTTTTTATGAGATGGAGAGGGTACTCTTTCTGTTCCAAAATAATTCAACTTAAGATAAAATATGATCTATCCTAAAACAACAAATTTGTATTATCTTAGAATATGTTATTTTGGGATGGAGGAAATAGTTATCCTTGCGATCTACTCCCTCCATCTAAAAAGGGCAACCTGCAAAAAGATGTGAAACAATATAGTACGATGAATCTGGATATAGAGGTTCAGAGTTATTATACTATATTGTGTCATATCCTCTCATAGTCCTTTTTTTAGATGGATGGAGCATATTATAGTGATATAGTCATCCCAGTTGGCTATAATTGGAAGTGATTAATCTGGTCAAATCAAATAAAAGAGAATATCCCGTCTTAAAAATAACAAGTCATTTTGAACTTCTCGAGACCCATTTTAGAATTTTGACTACCTAGTTCAGTATAATCATTATCATAAAAAAGTTATTTAGTTTGTTCTTATTTTTTGCATAAGTGTAATATTATGAAAGCTCTTGTTAGGATAAAGTTGAATATATCATTTTCATATACCCAAAAAGATATTTTGAATGGTTTTTATGGTTAAAATTAACTCTTTTTGAATGTTCGTATTTCAAGCAACTTGTTTTTGAGAGCGGGGGTATGTTACTTATTTATTTGTCATATCGGATCTAGCCCAAGGAAAACTTTCCTTTTATATTGGATCAATCACAAAAAAAGCGAAACGTCGAACTGAACGCAAATAGTGTTTCTCCTTTCCCTTTTCTTCGGTTTGACTACAGGAGTGATAAAAGCATATCGGTCCAAAATATCTTTCCTACAATCATATTTGTCTCGCACAACAGCCAAAACATAGCAAAATTCTAATTTTCATTACCATGTTCATATAGAAAGGCAATGTCGAAAGCTTCAGATACCAACGATACATTTGAAAAGTTTAAAAGTTGGATTGAAACACTCAATTTTTATTTTGGTACAAAGTGACAGAGCGAGAGACAAAAATTACTCGCACATCTGAAATGTGACCAATTCGATAGATTGCTGCACCATTTTCATATAAAATTCGAACTAAAGCAGTTTGCACGCACCAAACACATGACTAGTTGACTACTAGCAATCACTGCCCACTCATACATAATCCCGGCAATGGCGGCCGAGGCGACCAACCCCTCCACCTCGCCTCACCAACCTCCTCCACGACTCCGGGGAACTCGAATCCCGCCCCGGATAGTCGCCGCCGAGATCGATCCATGGCGGCCGAGGAAGCCCACCGCCTCGCCGACGCCAGCGCCACCGCGCCGCCCAAGAACGCCGCCGCCGTCGATGGCGTCGCCGTGGCGGCGCCGGCGGCCGGCGGCGGGCATGGGAGGGCGCCGGGGAACAAGCTGTCGCTGGTGCCGCTGATATTCTTGATCTTCTTCGAGGTCGCCGGCGGGCCGTACGGCGCGGAGCCGGCGGTGCAGTCGGCGGGGCCCCTGTTCGCGCTGCTCGGCTTCCTCGTCTTCCCCTTCATCTGGGCCGTCCCGGAGTCGCTCGTCACCGCCGAGCTCGCCACGGCGATGCCCGGGAACGGCGGGTTCGTGCTCTGGGCGGACCGCGCGTTCGGGCCCTTCGCCGGTTCGCTCATGGGCACGTGGAAGTACGTCTCCGGCGCGATCAACGGCGCCGCGTTCCCGGCGCTGTGCGCCGACTACGTCGCGCGCGTCGCCCCGGCCGTGTCGGGCGGCGGCGCCCGCGTCGCCGCCATCGTCGCCTTCAACGTCGCGATCTCGGTGCTCAACTACACGGGCCTCAGCATCGTCGGGTGGACCGCCGTGGCGCTCGGCGTCGCGTCGCTGTCCCCGTTCGCGCTCATGTTCGGCGCCGCGCTCCCCAAGATCCGGCCGCGCCGGTGGCGCGCCACGGCGGCGGACAAGGACTGGAAGCTCTTCTTCAACACGCTCTTCTGGAACCTCAACTACTGGGACAGCGCGAGCACCATGGCCGGCGAGGTGGAGCGGCCCGGGAGGACGTTCCCGCGGGCGCTGCTCTCCGCCGTCGCCATGACCACGCTCGGCTACCTGCTGCCGCTCTTGGCCGCCACGGGCGCCATCGACGCGGCGCCCGAGGACTGGGGCAACGGCTTCTTCGCCGACGCCGCAGGTAAATTCTTCCGATCACCAACAACGCCATCGAATCGAATCCAGTAATCAGATCACGTTCTTGCATAATCACAAACACCTAGCACGCGCGCCACGCCGAGATTCTTGATTGATTGATTTATTTATTACTTTTTGCTCTTTTCCATTGACATTGGTACACGATTCCATCGAACGTGTGGACCATGGAAAACAAAAAAGATTTTTTTTTCTTTTTGCGGGGAAATCAATCTTTTTTAGTGTTGTTGTGATTGTCATGAGCCATGGCAAGTTAACAACGTGGGAAAGAGGAGACCAAGCAATTAGGCAGAAAGGAACAATTAGATGATGATATTATTGTCGTCGAAGAAAATCTCTATAAAGTCAATTCCCCTTAGAACAATATGGCAATATCTTTACAGTACTGTCAGTACAGCTACCTCTCCAAGAACAGTACAAAAGATTATGTGTCAGTGTCAATGACATATACTCCTGTTTAGAGCTAGTCAAATCCTATAAATTAATTCATATATCTTACTGTATTATCTTAATTTGGTGTTCCATTTGGACAATGATAATGATGCCCAACATTTCTACCATTCTTCAGCTGCACAGATGAAATTAATTACGCGCTGCATGTTCCATAAAAAGAATACAACAAAGAATACAACATAAATAGTAGATTGTAACGACGCATAATTACCTTATACCTCTCTCTTTCTCAGAATTTAAGGCCTGATCAAACTTGACAATAGTCTCCAAAACTAATATTTTTTTCGCATGTACTACCTCTATTTCAAAATATCTGTTGTTTTAGATTATTTAGTAAAGATTAATGCTTAAAAGGAAATGACCATAGCGCCCCCTATTAAATGATGTATGATGGGGAGTGTGTCGGTAGTTTAGAGTAGGATAGAGAAAATTTTCAATTAGAGGTAACTAATGTAACAAAAGGTACTTTTAAGTGACAAAGCTTTTTGACAAAATTTAAATCCTAAAGCGTCAATATTTTGGTACGGAGGAATTACTACACTGTCTATAGGAACAGAGTCATAGCTATAAGAAAGTATATTCAAATGTCAATCCCGAATCCAATAATACCGTTGTCAACAAGTAAAATTTAATTTACATCAAACTAATTGTCAGTAAAATATTATATTGTGATGAGGAGGAGTGAGTATTTTCCAAGCTTCACACAACAATCGATTTACGCGGCGCATTAATTTAACGATCTCTGCATCTGCATTGCACTACTGTGGATGGTTGATCATTTTGATTGATCACTTTCTCTGCAAACGCATGAACACGTACGCAGGCATGATCGCCGGGGGTTGGCTCAAGTACTGGATCGAGGTGGGCGCCGTGCTCTCCACCATCGGCCTCTACTCGGCGACGCTGAGCAGCGCCGCGTTCCAGCTCCTCGGCATGGCGGACCTGGGCCTCCTCCCGCGCGCCTTCGCGCTCCGGGCGCCGGTGTTCGACACGCCCTGGGTCGGCATCCTCGCCACCGCCGCCATCACCCTCGCCATGTCGTTCACCAGCTTCGACACCATCGTCGCCTCCGCCAACTTCCTCTACAGCCTCGGCATGCTGCTCGAGTTCGCCGCCTTCGTCCGCCTCCGCGCCAGGCTCCCCGCCATGCCCAGGCCCTACGCCGTGCCGCTCCGGGGCCTGCCCGCCGCCGCCGCCCTCTGCGCCGTCCCCTCGGCGTTCCTCGTCTTCGTCATGGCCATCGCCGGGTGGAAGGTGTACGCCATCAGCGCCGTCTTCACCGCCGCCGGCGTCGCGGTGTACTACCTCATGGACCTCTGCAAGGCCAGAGGGTGGCTCACGTTCAGCGCCGCTGCCGCAGACCGCGGAGGCAGCGGCGGCGACGCGATGATGTACCGGCGTCAGGGGAGCACGGCGAGCGAGGTCGTCTGATGAGGGGATCGATCGTCGTCGACGCCATTGATTCCGGCGTTGCATTGCAAGCTGTATATGCTTTCCGATGTTTGTTTATCTGTGTGTGTGTGCGCGCTTCTTTCCTTGTGCAGAAGAGCATAGGAATTGAGTGATTTGTAACAGTCTTAATTAGTCGTAGATGCTGATCAAATCAAGAAATGGGTTGCATATTACTTTCAAATTAGCAAATTGTACATTCATGAAAGTGGTAGAACTAAAGAAGCATACATAAGCTCAAAGAGAAATTCTCGACCTCACTAAAATCCTATTGAAAACCCACCAGGATTTCAATCCTATTAAAGGAAAATGAGCAATTCTAAGGCACAAATCTAATGAACCAATGGTAGCATCTTGTCCCTGATTGCAAGAAATCATGGACAAGCTCAAAATCGCGGCGAACATGGTTAGCACTTAGTAGCTAGTACGAAACACCTAGAAAAACTTTGAAAGAAATACAATCTTGGCTAACCGAATGCACACTTTTGGAGAAGGTGAGGAGCCATACCTACATGGGCGCGACATGGCTTGAACAGGAGGACAACACAGCAGCATGCCGACGGCGTGATGATTCGATGATGGCACGCATGGGCGTCACAGGACACAGCTTAGGAAGAAGAAATGGTGTGTGCCGTCTCAGGTCATCATGGAGTAGTACATGATGTTTGCTTTGCTAGGGGTATTTGAGAAGAGTGTGTTTTCTTGTCTTGAACTGTTGATGTTGGGGGAGAAACTGTATTTGTCGGATCTGCTACAGTACTAGTACTCCTACTCTTACTCCGTAGGCCGGTACATTTCTGTTGGGTGGAAATGGGAGGAAGACTTCCGGACCCATCATTTCGCTTATTCGCGGAATAAGCCAAGCGGCACATTTGCAAGCGAAAAATAATTTGTGAATAAAATTTTTATATTTGTAGCTATGCTTATCTCTGAAGTCGATATCCGGCGTCTTGTCTTGGCGCATGTTGGCTTGTATGTTGATATTGTATCTTGATCTATTGTTTCATGTCCCCTCTCCTCCTAGGGGGCCTTATATTTATACTCATAGGTATCCCCTTGTTCAAGTAGAACTAGGGAAACCAATATGGATACAATCCGAGTAGTCCTTGTCGTTTCCATGTAGAACTCTATTCATCCTTCCTTATGCGGAACTCCTCCTATATCCGAAGGTTGTTTCCGTATAAGACATGGTATGTGGTGGGTCCTGCCAAGATTTAGTCAACTACTATAAGGTATGTGGTATCCATAACATTGACAATGTGTTCTTAGCGATCCAAAAGAAAATGCTGAAAAATAAGCTTCGATGAAAAAAAAAACCTCAAAATCAGCTCCAAATGTAACATTGAAAATTCAAATTTGGCTGATAAGCATAAGCATAAGTAAAAATATGAGGCCCTTCCTCTCTGTTCTCATAAAAACCGGTACTCGGTAGGAGGGATGCAGCGGTTGATAAGAAAAGTAAAATGTGTTTGAAACTCACAACGCGGGAAAAGATGTAGTGCAAACTACATATATAGTGGAAACATGAAAACTACCATTAGAACGTAAAATGGATGTTCAATATTCGTCCACGTATGAGTAAAATTTTTACTCCTGATAATGTGGACGAATATCAGACGTTCATTTGATCCAACGATAGTTTTCAGATTCCCACTACATATGTAGTTTCCACCCTATATTTTCCCCTTACTACGCAGCAAACATGTGACATAGAGGAAATCCAAAATCAGAAAATGGAAATGCTAACGCATTTAGAAATGATTAGACTCATTTCTTAGACACGCAAACAATAATAAGAGAGTAAAGCACGAGAGCTGTCTTGTTTGTTTGTGTAGGCCGAAATTCAGGCCCACCCATTTGTATGCCAGAATTGGGCCCATCAAGACGAGGCCAAGGTTAGCTAGTGGGTTGGGCTGGTGTGGGATGCTTCCAGGTGATATTTATAAGGCAATAAGTTCATATTGATTCCCTTAACTAGTAATTGAATCTGATTCGTATCCTATACCGGATATCTCGATCCTCAACTATTAAAACGGCTACAATTTGACCCCATCGATAATTTTAGAGGGTGGTTTTGCCAACGTGGCTCCTACGTAGTGATTTTGATCTAGTCTTCGTGGTGCATGGTGGTGGTTTTTTTTTCCTTTCCTAGCTAATGCCTATTAAGAATCACCGCACCATCTGGTGTTAGTCGTCGTAAAAAAAAAAACCGGTAGATTCTCGTTAGCGAACTTGTACCAGAACTGCTCCGTCCGTGTGAAGCGCAGGTCGGGGGCGTCAAAGAAGAATCGGCATGAGCTCGATCTCAAAGCAGAAAAATCGCCATGCCTGCGCCGTCTCCACGCACTCGAACGTCACCGACGACCCCGGCAGCCGATCCACGAATGGCCGCCAGAGGCACCACGTACGAGTCGTACGACAACACACCCTTCGAAGCTCCCCCAGGAGGACGAACACAATTAGAAGTATAATAGTATAATAGTGAGTTATAAGCCTACTATAAGTTTACGTGGATGAGAGAGGTAACAAAAAAAATCAAGAGTGTAATGGCTCTCATGCAAGAGCTAGCTTAACACAAACTCCAAGACAATACATTAAATGTATAAGTGAGAGATAGAGAGAGGAAAAGAAAAATTGTAGCCGACCTTATAACTAATCTATTATATATGTTGGCTTTAAAATGGACTAATAGTATGAAGTGAGCTCTACTACCATCTTTGCTCTTAGCTGCACCGGGTTCCTGGAAGGACCTGATCACGGAGTTGATGGAAGGACCTCTTGTTGGTTCTTTTCTCCAACAAGAGAGAGTTGGATGAAGATTAAGATTTTTGTGGCACGCTTTTCAAACTGATAAACGGTACGTTTCGTTCTATATGAAAGTTGCTCTAAAATATCATATTAATTTATTTTTTAAGTTTGTAATAATTAAAACTCAATCAATCATACGCTAATACCACCTCGTTTTGCGTAAAAAACTTAATATTCATCTTCATCTTCAGAAGAAAAGAACACCACTATATATACTATATGTGTCGGTTCTTAATCTAAAACCATCACCTATATTTTAAGAATAGGTGATAATAATTTAGAAAAAACCAGTATCTATACGGAGAGAAATATAGCTGTCGGTTCCAGCCCCAAACCAACATCTATAATATATTATAGGTGTTATTTTTCTTAAAAAACAGCACCTATACGAAACCGAGCCGAGCCAAGCCAAGGAGAGGGATCATTTTCCACCCGCCCCCGCAGCTCGACCCTATCGTTTTATCCGCATCTTAGCGCTCTCTCTCCCTTCCCTTTTTTCAGAGAGTAGCATAGCGCTGTCCCTTTCCGTCCTTCTCTTCTCCTTCTTCTCTTCTGGCAAGGTGTCCACGGCGGTGGCCAAGGGCAAGGATAGCAGCGGCGGGTGGGACGAGGAGTCCTCCACGTGGTGGTGGTGGCCAAGGACATTGGCGGTGGCCAAGGGTGGTGGCGGCAACAGTGGTGGTGGTGGAGGTGGCCCTCTCTCTGCATTCGTCTTCCCCCTTCTCCTCCTCCAGATCTGCCAGCCGACAGCAGTGGCGATGGTGGTGGAGGTGGCCCTTCTTCTGCATCCGCCTCCCCCCTTCTCCTCCAAATCCAGTGACGGTGGTGGAGAAAGCTGGCGCAGAGAGTGAGGTGGCAGCCGGAAGCCTAAAAGGAGGTGGTGGTGGAGGCCGTCACACTCCTCCCCCCCTCGCCAAGCACTTCGTTGTTGGCTCCATTGGGCCTTTTTTTTATTATCTCATTGAATACTATACATGTTGGTTGTGGGGTAAGAACTAATACCTATAATTTCTGTATGTACTGGTTTCAGAACTCCTAGGTATAGATGCCAATAAATTAGTGTCGGCTTGAAAACTGACACTTACTGGCTTTTAACCAGTACCTATGTTGGTTTCTGTCGTAGTGGCGGCCATGCCCTCGATCTTGTGGAGGAGTCTCGTGCTCGCCGGCCACTGTGCTGGTGGAAGATCGAGCAGAGAAAAGCAGCAAAGCAGCACTGAATTCCTCCTTGCGTGACGCCATTAGCGCCATAGTTGCAAAATAACCCACGCAGCCGTTGCAAAGATTAACCCGTGCTGAGCTCCCCCCCCCCCCCAAAAAAAAAAAAAATCTTTCTCTTGAGCTTGTTGGTGCTAGCATCTGAATGGAGCCTCGCTGAAGAATGAGCCGGTGGAACTCATTGGTGCAGGCAGAGCTCAAGCTAGTGCTCGGGTCCGTTGTGCTGCACGGCTCATCGTACGCTCTGGAATCTGGATGCCTCGCACAGGGCAGACAGAGAGGGAGCGAAGAGAAGCAGAAGGAAAGAGGAAGAAGAAGGCCCTGAAAAGCTGGCTCTCCATTACTTTATTTTTTTTTCTAACCAGGCATACCAAGTAGACGAAAACCACGCAAATGCTTTGCGCCGAGCGTCCGATGCAAGAAGCTATCGTCGGACGCGCGCGGCTTCGTTACATATCTACATAGATATATGTTTGATGATGTCACAGTATACAACATGCAAAGAAATAGCTACAAACTTGATTTTCAAACAACATTTTCTCCCGTACTATTTATTCGATTTACGATTTGATTGCACCGTTATATTCGTTACAATTAAATCTCTATAACAAGATCTCACATGATCATATTCCGATGAAATATATATATATATATATATATATATATATATGTTTCAATCGTTATAATTATATGTTTCACGTATGAGAAATAAATGTTCCAATTAGGATTTCACTTTGTTGCAATTTTTAAATTTTCTATTGCAACCGATCTTTATTTAATGTCACCGATAGTATTGTTAAGATGTTTCAACATGTATTTTTCAATGTTTCACTATTGCATTCATAAATATTACCTACAATGCATTTGTCGAGACATGCAAGAAACACCTCGTGCAACATTCACAAATGAAATAATGAAACATCACAAAATACCTATTTGAAACATCCTGTGTGTGCAACACTAAAAAACACCATTGTTAAAAAGACATGAAAAATATACAACATTGTCGAGTTCCAGCTGAAACATTTGTTACTCATTCATGAAACATTGAATTATAATGCTGGAAACATATATTTTTTTAATCAAAATATAATCATTTGAGATGTTATTGTAAAGATTTAATTATAAAGATTTAATTATAATAAATGACATGAAAAGTAAGTCACCTAAAAGGTTTCTAAATGCTAATATAATACTAATCAATACATGTTAGACTTG